TACCAGCTGAAGAAACTGAGACCCCAGAAGGGTCTAGAGCCACTGCCAGGTTTCAGTCCTGAAAGCTGTCGTCGTCCCACCGCCCCCCCCACCCCCGTCCTCATCCCTCAAACCAGGGCTCTTGCCAGCTAAACCCAGGGTTGAAACAATTCTCATTCCTAGGTCCTCAGCCTTTGCATTTTGACTTCCACAACTCACCTGGGGCTCTGCTTTGTTCCTGAATGCTATGGGCCTCAGTAACACGGGGCTGAGTGAAGGCAGGCAGCCAGTCTTACCAGATGGGGACAGAGTGTTTACTACCAACTGCTGTAAACTACCAAACTGAGCTGTAGAAATATCCAAATGGCCAGGATTTGGACAGAAAGAAGACCACTCAGCAGGAGGAAAAGAAAGTTAAGGAAAAGGACACCTTGAAAGCTACTTATTACTGAAAGCCAGTCTTCAAAATGCTGCATGATAACATACACTCCTTCACTCCAACAATCTGCTTAGAAAGCAACAGAAAGATTAGGAGAAAAGCCCACGGATTTGACTATTCCTTGGTTCTTCTCACAAAAGCCCTCCAGAGGACCTAGTTTAAGCACAAAGCCATACTTGTCGGTATCTCTGCCCCTCAATCTGTATTTATACTAGCCATTGAAAAAATCCCAATTGACCTCCAGCATCACCCTCCTCAATTGTACTCAGAGGTGTGAGGATTAAAGGATCAAGGAGGTGTTTGCATGTAACTCTCCCAGCACAAGACAGTAACTGTCAAGGAAAAGGCATCCTCTAATTTATAGTTCCCACATCCCCACCAGCTACCTCTTCAGCCAGATTCTGTCCCACTCAAGACACTGCCATTGATCCTGTTTTCCACAACCCAAGTATAAAATCAGGTATTGGAGCCAGCAGAGCTGCTCTGTGGAGCGCCACAAACAATGGGTATTTCATGTTAAATGATCATAAAGGTGAAACCTGCATGAAGCATTACACCAGAAAGGGCTGTGGAAAAAAAAAAAGAACTTGCCTTAGAAAGCCAAGGTTAGGATTTAAATACATCCCACGCAGATTAGCAGCTCAAACCACAGGAGAGGATTTCAGTGGGACAAGAGGCCCAGAGGACCCCTGCCTCCCCAGAGCAGAGGAAAACAGAATGGCAAACAGAAGGTGGCTTACTCATACACAAAATTGACTTCCTTACAAAAGCACAGCAGACCAAGCTACAGAGAGGTCCTCTCCTTCTACACGCACAGCGAAGATTAGGAAGGAGTGGCCTGGGGAGAATGGGCAGGAAGGCACCAGCTGGCCAGGCACATGGGGTGCCCACTCCTCAAAACCCTGAAACGTGTACTCAACCAAATCATGTGGCTTCAGGCTAGAGCCAGGAGGCTGGGAGCAGTGTGGGGAAACCAATTTGCTTTCCTTCCAACCAAGTATCCAGGTCAGAGGCTACCGAGGAGGGGTATCTTTAATAGAATCCAAATCACTCCAGTGATTCAAGAGAAATTAACGTTAATCTCAGAGATTCTTTAGGAGGAGAAAAAAAGCAATGCTTGAACAGCCATCATGAACCAGGCACAATGCCCAGTCTAAAATATAATCTCAATCTGTCTTTAGGATGAGGGGGAACACTGTAAAGGCTAAAACTAGTCTTCACCCACAAACGAGGGCTATGGCCAGGCCTGGGTCCAACACCCACAAATAATTTAGATTACCAGCTACAGCAAAACAGACTGCTTTAAAATATTGATGTTCAGCAACCTTACACCAGAGCCACATCCACCTGGCATCTGAGCAGGTCCCGTTGACAGCAGACACCTTTGTGCTCACCCTACAGGGGCCAGGAGTTGCTGTACTTCCTAGAAAATGGCTGGGTGGAGGAAAGGATATTCATACAAAAGGCTCTAGGGACCAAGATCCGTGTCACTCAAGGGCTTAGATGGGATCTATTATCTGCAAATTTTGGGCCATCGCCTAGCAATGTGCATGACAAAGGAGCCAGTTTAATCCAGGTAGGCACCGAGGCTTCAGTGATTTGCATATCTGTAGGATCAAAAAGCCCTCTCTGATCCTAGAGCCATATTTCCTCTGAGAATACACCCCAGAATTACTTCCCAGAACCCACAAAACTAGTTAAGAGGTGGAAGAGGTGGGCGCCTGGGTGGCTCAGTGGGTTAAAGCCTCTGCCTTCGGCTCAGGTCACGATCCCAGGGTCCTGGGATCGAGCCCCACATCGGGCTGTCTGCTCCGCAGGGAGCCTACTCCCTCTTCTCTCTCTCTGCCTGCCTCTCTGCCTACTTGTGATCTCTGTCTGTCAAATAAATAAATAAAATCTTAAAAAAAAAAAAGAGGTGGAAGAGGTTAAAGTTCAACACAAAAGCCCCCCCAAAACATAATTTCACTTGTTCCCAGTACTCAGAACGTTTTTTTAAGTTTTATTTTTTAGTAATCTCTACACAATGTGGAACTCAAACTCACAACCCCCAAATCAAAACTCGCATGCTTTACTCACTGAGCCAGCCAGGCGCCCCTCAGAAATTTTTTTTTTTTAAGATTTTATTCATTTGACAGAGAGATCGTAAGTAGGCAGAGAGTCAGGCAGAGAGAGAGGAGGAAGCGGGCTCCCCACTGAGCAGAAATCGCGATGCGGGGCTCGATACCAGGACCCTGAGACCACAACCCGAGCAGAAGGCAGAGGCTTTAACCCACTGAGCCCCAGGCGCCCCCAGAAAATATTAAATAATCAGCAGGTGAACTACTTGAATGCCAGAAACAAAGAAATGTGAAAAATGATCAAATCATGCTCATGCTATCATCTATCCACTCATTTCAAAGGTGCTCTGTGCCTTTAAGAGCAAAGGGGATGGGTGGTGCTTACTAAGAGTCCAAGCTTTGCTTTCTGAATAGTTTAAAAAAAAACACAACAAACTAATTTGAGAAGCACTTGGTTACAAGAACACAGTAAGGTTACCAGTTGCTAGAGTTAACAGCTTTTTGTGAATGGTGTTCCTTGATCAGTAATTGCGACAAAGGGGGGAGGGGGGAAGGGATTAGGAAACCAACAGATATGACCATACCAGGTGTCAAGCAGCCCAGATTCCCCTGCGAGAGATAAATTTAAACACAAAGTAGCCTAGACTTCAGTAGGGAAAAGATAGTTGGCTTAACCTAATTGCTCTGCCCATACCCACTACCCGGCTGTAGCGGCCTTCACTAACACCTGGGGTGAAGAGCACCGGGTTTCTGTTAGCTGCTGCCGAGCGGGAGGAAGGCACCAGCCAACCTCCGCATCTCTGCAGGAGAGATCTCGAAAGGCCCAGGGGTTCCAGCAGTCCCGGGTCTGTTCGACACCGCCCACCATCAACAGTGCCTTTCCTTCTCTAAGCCTCCCTCCGAGGTGGGGGGATAGGGAGGGACTGTACCTTAGGGCACAACGGAACTGGTGAGAGCCTGCCCCGAGGCGTTCAGACCACAGTCTTCCCAAGCCCATTTTGACCCATAACCCCGAAACTAGCGTGGTCCCTCCACACCGCGGGCCGGGGGGGGGGGCGGTGGTGCAGGCGGAGTGTGACACGTGACCCACGCGCCCCGGGGCATGAAGTCAGCGGGCACTACGGCCAGGACAGCCTCCACCTCTCCCGACACCCTTGAAGGGGCTGCATATGCTAATCCTCTCGAGAGACACCAAGCCCTTGACCTCAGGGCCCTAATTCGGTTCCAAAGGTCCCTGCCCCAAAACCAACCGTTCCAATCACCACGGTGCCCTAGCCCATCCTCCGCGTTCCGCAAATCAACCCTCTTCCCAGGTTCGCCGAACTGAACTCCCAGGGGCTAGGCTACCTGCACGGGTTTGCCACCACCGTGCCTGGGTGGGGAGCAACCCAGTGCGAGCTTAAAGGGCCCAGAAGTTGGATACGGTTCCTGAAGTGACCATTTCAACTCCAGCCCTTCAGGAGGAAGAAAGGGGTGCCCGTGGGCCTCGGGGCAACTCCTCGCCCTTACGAGCGCCTGGCCCTGCCCACAGCCCGCCCCGCCGCCGCCTCTCCCAGTTCCCACTTGGGTACACACGACCTTTGAAAAGTAAACGCGTGTGGGGTTGGGCGACCTTGGGTGGGACGCGCTCGGGTCTGTCTCACGGGAGGGAGTGCACGCTCGGGGAAAGTTAAGCCGCAGAGGGGTGCCCCGGGCGTCGCGTCCTCGCCTCCCTACCCCCTGAGGGCTGTGACGCCCGTGGGGGGCACCATGCGGCCGCAGGCCATGGCTCCAGCCGCGCACACGCGACCTGTCAGCAGGAGCCCGCGGGCAGACAACCCCGGCGGGGGAGGAAGAGGGGGCGCGCAGGCGACGACAGCGAAAGGGCCTGCTTGACAGCAGGCGATGGCCGGATCCCCTCCTCAGGCTCTCGGCTTCCGCAGCCTAGCGCCTCCGGGACACCTGGAGCGCGCGTCGCACACCGCACCTGCACCCTAGACTCCCCGCGCCCGACGGCGCCGCCCTCGGGGGCCTGGCAGGTGGTCCTCGTGCCAGCCGCCCAGGCGGCCCCAACTCACCAGGTCCTCGGCGACAGTCGGGATGCAGAGTCCTCGCCCGCCGCCGCCCCCCCCCACCCCCGGGCCCAGCAGCCCAGCCCCGCTGCGCTGCGGCCGCTCCCCCACGTGCTTGCCCAGGCCGGAGGAACACAGAGACATTAAATACTGAGGACGCGCAGCTACGTGCCCACTGCGCGACGCAAGGCCCCGCCCCCCGCCCTGGTGCCCCGCGCCGCCCCACTCACCTGCGCGTGCGCGCCGCCTGCCTCTCCCGCCCGCGCTTCTCCCAGCTGCGCCAGAGAGGGCGCGGTCTGGAGCGCCTAGCCAGCATCCCGCAGCCGCCGCCCGCAGCCTGGCCTCGCTCGGGCTCTCGCGAGAGGAAGTATAATCTCGGCGTGGTTGGAGAGAGCGGCCTGGCTGGAGCCTGGGGAGACGTCTCCGAACCTCAAAGGTCTACCCGGCGAGCGCCGCGTGGGGTCTCCTGCCTCAGCTCTGGGCGGTTTCCTGGCGTCAGTTAGACCATCTGCCTGTCGCGTCGCGGACAGCCTCCTGGAAAAGGCGGAGTGGCCTGGCCGGGGAGGGGCAGGGCTCCCCTTTGCTTCCCCGGAACTGTCAGTACTTCGTAACGCATAATCAGGTGGCCATTAATAATTGTTCAATAATGACTGCAGAATAGGGAGTACCTCGCACTACTCAAATGCAACTTTTTTGCCCATTTTCACATTCGGTGAGGTTGAACTGAAACAAACACTTTCTTCTAAATGGGTTTGAGTTTTGGAAAAATTCCTGTGAAGAGGTGGTCACCACGAGTCACTAACTCTGCCAGGAAACTTGGGAAAATAAATTGCCCCCAGACAAGTGAACAGGATGGGTCGCAGTTGGCTGGGCCTGTTCTCAGTCTTAAAAAATAGGGACGTGAAGTAAACATTTGGACAAAATACAGAAAATAGATCATGCTAACCACTAACCATTGTTTGGGAAAACGCTTCATTCATCCTCATTAGTGACCAAAATGCAAATTTAAATGACAATGAGATGCCATTTACTATTGAGTTTTAAGTATAAATTCATATATATATATATATATATATGAATCCCAGTTGCATGCTGTGATTAGTGTTATGAAGGAAACAAAGAGGAAGCTGAAATAGGAAAGAAATAGCAAGGTTCTATGGTTCCAAAAGACATAGGGTAAAACTTAAACTGAAACCTAGTGGATGAGAAGGAACCAGCCTTGCAAATAGCATTTGGGAATAAGGATTAGGAAGTATTCCCAGCAGAGGCAACAACACAGGCAAAAGGAAGAAACAGCTTCTAGTGAACTAGAAGATCAGTGTGGATAGAATATATAGCGGGGGTTGAGCGCAATGCTGGAAAAAGAAGGTTGCAAACAGGTAAAAGAAGGTTGCAAACTGGGGAGAGGATAAGAGAACTAGACCACCTTATAAACTATAGTAAAGCTTGGATTTTATTCTACTCTGCTTAGCCCCAAAGCCGAGCATGCTTCCACCTCAGGACCTTTGCACTTGCTATTTCCTCCGACTGGAATATTCTGCAGACTACACTCACCTCTTTCAAGTCCTTTGCTCAGTGGTCAGCTACTCAGTCTCAGTGAAACTTTCTCTGTTCTCCCTATTTAAGATTGTAATTACACATATGCATGCGGGTGCACACCCCCACCCACACAATTCTCTGTCCCTCACCCCTACTTTATTTTTCTTCACAGCACTTACCACTATATACATTCTATATACTTCATTTATTCACAAGAGCTGATATCATTGGGGGCATGACATATGGAGGGCACTCAGTAAAAAAAGCATTTAGTGAATAAGCGGGAATCCATTTAAAAAGGTTAAGTAGAGGGGGCGCCTGGGTGGCTCAGTGGGTTAAAGCCTCTGCCTTCGGCTCAGGTCATGATCCCAGGGTCCTGGGATCGAGCCCCACATCGGGCTCTTTGCTCCACGGGGAGCCTGCTTCCTCCTCTCTCTCTCTGCCTGCCTCTCCGCCTACTTGTGATCTCTGTCAAATAAATAAATAAAATCTTTTAAAAAAAAAAAAGGTTAAGTAGAAAGTAAGACTAAGAGTGCATAGGTGGCTCAGTCAGTTAAGCATCTGACTGTTGATCTCAGCTCAGGTCTTGATCTCTGGGTCCTGAGTTCAAACCCTGCCTTGGGTGTGGAGCCTACTTTAAAAGAGAGAGAGAGAGAATGATACAATATAACTTCTGTTTTTAAAAGGAAGCTGAAGCTGCTATGAAAAGAATGGATTAGAAGACCAGTACAGAAGCAGGGAGACCAGAAGAGAGACTGCTACAATGAGCCAGATGAGAAATTGTGCTGGCCTGAGCTAAGAGTCATGGCAGTGGGTATGCAGAAATGGCTTTGAACACAAGGTATATTTTGGAAGAAGTACCAACAAGACTACTTCACTCATGTTGAGGTAAGGAAAAGGGAACAATTAACAGTCCTTCCTCTGGCTTGAACCACTATGTTAAATGGGGTACAATTTATTGAGATGAGGGAAGATGGGGACAGTGAATCATTGGTTTTATTTGGGACCCACTATATATATAGTGATTTGTGACTGTCAAGTGCAAATAAGTAGTTAAGTTGTATATGCACATCTGAAGTTCAAAGTGGCAGAAGTTGGAAATACAAATTTGTGTTGAAAATCATTTAAAAAGTGGATATTTTAGGGGCACCTGGGTGGCTCAGTGGGTTAAGCCTCTGCCTTCAGCTCAGGTCATGATCTCAGGGTCCTGGGATCAAGCCCCACATGAGGCTCTCTGCTCAGCAGGGGGCCTGCTTCCCCCTCTCTCTCTGCCTGCCTCTCTGCTTGCTTGTGATCTCTCTCTCTGTGTCAAATAAATAAGTAAAATCTTTTTTTAAAAAGTGGATATTTTAAAGAAAGACAATGCTCTGGTGGTGGTGGAGGGATGGAATATCTATGGGGGAGAACCTGGGAAAATGATGTCCAAGCTGTTATGTCCTGGAAGGATTGGTAGGAAAAAATGGGAAGAAGGAGGAAGTAGAAGAAAGAGGGAGACAAGACTATGAATATGATTATGAGGAGGGGCAGAAAAGCAGGAGGAAATAATATCAATGTGTTAGTCCTATCCTAGGTGTGGTCACATGAGCAAAGGAAGAGGTGAAGTGGGGTAACTGGAGTACTAGGGAAAGTGTAAGACACAGTTCATGGGGCGGGGGGTGGGGGTGGGAGCTGAAGACAGGATTAACTATAATCACAGCTAAAGATCAACCCAGCAGCTGTGGCGGAGGCAGAGGTGGCCAGCCACAAGGTCAGGGCAGTGCAGAGGTCACAAGGTGGCCCTAGTATGAGAATGAGAAGGTGGAGGAATAAGAAGGGAGGTGAGGATGGAGGGCCATCTTAAGAACTTGGCCCTGAGGAAGAAGCTTAAATTTTAGCAAGTCTGCTTAAGACAGGGATTTTAAGGGGTGCCTGGGTGGCTCAGCGGGTTAAAGCCTCTGTCTTTAGCTCAGGTCATGATCCCAGGGTCCTGGGATTGAGCCCCGCATCAGGCTCTCCCTCCCTCTCACTCTGCCTGCCTCTCTGCCTACTTGTGATCTCTGTCTGTCAAATAAATAAAATAAAATCGTTTGCTTTTTTTTTAAAAAGTTTTTATTTTATTTATTTGACAGACAGAGATCACAAGTAGGCAGAGAGGCAGGCAGAGTGAGAGGGAGGGAAGCAGGCTCCCTGCCAAGCAGGGAGCCCAATGTGGGGCTCAATCCCAGGACACTGGGATCATGACCTGAGCCGAAGGCAGAGGCTTTAACCCACTGAGCCACCCAGGTGCCCCAATAAAATAAAATCTTAAAAAAAAAAAAAGACAGGGATTTTAAGATAGGATATATAAAACAGCTTCAAGGACTTTTGTGAACCCTCTGAAATTGCTCACATAGTTTTTTAAGTATGATGTTTTTCTGTGAAAATAGTCATGGATACCTTCTATCAGATTCTCTAATCCTGATGTTAAAAAATAATAATAACGGGAACCTGGCTGGTTTAGTCTGTAGAGCATGTAACTCTTGAGCTCAGGGTCGTGAGTTGGAGACCCACATTGGGAATAGAGATTACTTAATATTTTTTTTTTTACTTAAAATTTTTTTTTAAATAGAAGAATAAGAATCTGGTAAGTGGAACAAGACAGAAGGTAACAGTGTATCTTTAAAAAAAAAAAAAGGAATATGTCAGTTAGAAGTAGGAAGTGACAAAGGAGACCAAAAGAAAAAGCTGGGGAGTGAGTAGTGCCTGTCTTAGGGAGAAGGCACTCAATCCAGTCTAATCAAGACACTGCCCTCTCTGGTTAAGTGGCAATGGTCAGATCAGAACCCAGTACTATTATTCATTTAAATCCTAGAACTCTGCCCCTCATCCTGTTTCCATACCCACGAAGCAACCTTCTGATAATTCTCTCCGAGGAGAGAAGCCATGGCTGGACTGCCTTACAGGTAGATTTTGGTCACTGTAAATTACACAAATGACCCTCTTGTTTTCTCCATCTCGTAGACCTTGTAAAGGTTTGTTGTTTGAGTCAGCTGTCAGTTCTGGAACTCAAACGTGGTGGAGTTTCTGAACCTGTCATAAGGCTGAGTGAGGGCTTTAGGACCACAGCAACTTTCATCAAAACATCACCAGTATGTCCTCTTGTGAGGCTCTTGTTTTTTGTTTTTTGTTTTAAGCAGGCTCCACACCCAACGTGGTGCTTGAACCACAACCCTGAGATCAAGAGTCACACACTCTACCGACAGAGCCAGCCAGGTGCCCCTGTGAGGCTATTACAAAGTCAACCAGTTGTCTTCTCTTGGCAGCAGAAGGAACTTTTCCAGCGCTAGCAAATATGAACTGTCCCCTTAATGGGCAATACAGTGAGGGAGTGTCCTAGCACCTTCAGTTTCATTGAATAAACAAGTGAAACTAAACCCCTCCCATTCCCCACTGGTTTTACCCCCAGGATCATGGTGTGTCTACAGAGAAGAGTAAATGATCTACTCCGAAAGAAGTCAATAGAAAGAGTTAGGGAAGGACATCTGGGTGGCTCAGTCCATTAAACGTCTGCCTTTGGCTCAGGTCATGATACCAGGGTCCTGGGATTGAGCTCCACGTTGGGCTCCCTGCTCAGCAGGAAGCTTGCTTTTTCCTCTCTCTCTACCCCTGCTTGTGTTCCCTCTCTTGCTGTCTCTCTCTCTCTGTCAAATAAATAAATAAATAAATAAAATCTTTAAAAAGAAGAAATAGAGAATAATAATACCCATAGCTAATACTTAATGAGCACTTAATGCCCAGCACTGTGCAAAGTACTTTCTTCCAATCCTCCACCAGCCTCAGATAATAGACGCTCTCATTCTACTGCATTCCCATTCTGCAGCCCTTAGTCACACAGCAGTGGAGGCAAGGTTTTAACCTCAGAAATCTGACTTGAAGCCCATGGATTAACCAACTCACTATAGCACTACTGGAGACAGACCTAGAGAATCAGCAAGCAGTTTGATACAGAAACATGGCTGCTCCATGTTTGTTTTGTGTCCCCTTAAAAAAGATATGCTGAGGGGCGCCTGGGTGGCTCAGTGGGTTAAAGCCTCTGCCTTTGGCTCAGGTCATGGTCCCAGGGTCCTGGGATCAAGCCCCACATCAGCCTCTCTGCTCAGCAGGGAGCCTGCTTCCTCCTCTCTCTCTGCCTGCCTCTCTGCCTACTTGTGATCTCTGTCTGTCAAATAAATAAATACAATCTTAAAAAAATATATATGATGAAATCCCAACCCCAGTACCTCAGAACGTGACTTTATTTGGAAACAGGTTTGTTGCAGATTTAAGTTAAGCTGAGGTCATGCCAGAGTAGATTTGACCCCTAATGCAATCTGACAGACAGCCACAGGAAGACAAGAAACACAGGGAGAAGCGCCATGGGACAAGAGAGTATTGGATTTATGCATCTGGAAGCCAAGGAATGCCAGAGATTGCCAGCAATCCACCAGGAGTGAAGAAGAAACAACACTTCTCAAACACCTTCATTTTTTACTTCTTCCTTCCAGAACTGTGAGACAACACATTTCTGTTGTTTTGAGCCACCCAGTTTGTGATACTTTGTTCCAGCAGCCCTAAGACACTGACACAGTATCTTTCTTTCTGGAACCCATGGCAGACAGTTGGTGAAAGGGAATGTGAAGTCATTTAGCTGGTGATAAAAGGGGGCTGTCCCCTTCCTCCCCCTCTGGACCTAAGGTGTGCTAGCTTCACAGGGCAGAGGCCCCATCCAAGGGGTTATCATGAAGGGGCCTCAGATAGCCAGCACTTAGGCTATCGCCCCATCACCACCATATATTTCTTGGGAACTTTTCAGCTACATATTTAAGACCTTGATTCAGGTTCTGTTCAGTGGGCGTCATGCAGGGGTGTGTTCGGCCCTTTCCCAGAGCCTCTCCACTCCTCTCAGCTTCTTGCAATGGTAGTACAATTGGGAAGTGGAGCCTAAGAAACTCTGTAAACTACTTCAGACAGGGTGAAGTTGTACCCCAAAGCAATTTAGGTCCTTCAGCTATAGCGAAGCTCGTGGACACAGAGAAGCAATTAATTATCAGAGATTGTGACCTACTTTATTTTATCCCGTGGGAGGGATTTCCTTCTGGGCCCACTGTCACGATCCTCCCAGGAGGCCACCTGACCATGCTGCATGTCTGTGTAGGGATGCTCAAGTTGCTTGGACTCTCTAAGAACGCTGCAGTGAGCCCTCTCTGGTAAGGTTTATAATCTGTTGTGCAGTGTTTAATTTGTTAGTGTGCATGCCTTTTGGTACACCACTGCAACTGGGATTGTCTGAAACAGCAAGATCTAGGAGTCTCAGATAACCCACAGGGATGGGAACTTCTGTGGGATGACACCTTTTCCCAAGGCAACTCACCTCTAGGAGTGATGGGGTAGAGCACATAACGATACGGGAGCTCAGACACTGCACCCAAATTTTTCCATTGTCCCCAACCTCCACTCACCCTCCACGAGTCCTCTGGAACCATTTTCTTGGCTCTATCTATTCTAAAACCTGGCAAGTTTCTGACTTCTGTTTGATGAGACACTCCAGGTTCCTACAAACTAACGTGTTCCATCGAGAACTGCCAGTAGCCCACATGGTGGCATTGTGCAAATTAGGTAACAGGTGTCCCCTCCCCCAGACAGACACAGCTCTGTGCCAGGCTCCATCGTGAGCAGAGTGCAATGGCACAGTCTAGATTTCAGCCTCTACTTGTCCTTGGGCTAGATGTCCTTGTGCAGGACACAACCTGCACAACCCTCCATGACATTCCTGCAGTTGGCAGTGAGCCCTAACAGGACAAGTGCTGTCTACTATGACACAGTCAGGCAACCAGACCTCCAGGGGTTTTGTGCACCACACTGCAATGGCTTCATTCACTTAACCACCGCCAAAGCCTAAATAAAGTATTGCCTTGTTCAGTACAGGTTTTGGTTTGGTTGGTTTTGGTTTTTTGTTTTTAAAGATTTTAAGTAATCTCTATACCCGACATGGGGCTTGAACTCATAACCCTGAGATCAAGAGTCACATGTTCCACTGACTGAGCCAGCCAGGCGTCCCTCAGTACAGGTATTTAAAATGCTCTTGTGGCAAACAGTCTCTCCTTTGCTAGCCTGCCCACTGCTCCCTTGCAGTGTATTCAATAAATTTCGATCTCCTTTGTTCTGCCTTGGGTGAATTCTTTCACTGCCCACACATTGGCCTCCACCGGATTGGGTCACCCCCATGACCCCCATGGAACCGCAGCCATGCAGGGCCAGGACTCTCCACGGATTTTCTGGGAATGTCTCCGGACTCTCCCTCGGTGGACCGACTCTAGTACTCCCTGGGAATCTGATGACCTCCTGCTGAGGTTACTCCTCCATGAGGATCTGAGCCCCAGAGGGAACCTGCTGGACCACCCTTGCCCAAAAGGGTGAGGGATTTTCCCCCTTGCCCTTCAGAGGATCCTTCCCTCCCCCTTCTTTCAACTTTCGGTCCTCTGTCAGCCTAACCCTAGTGTTCCTCAGACAGCTGAAGGTCTCTGGCCAGGGCAGCTCTCTGGTGTTGGTCTGAAGGGCTAAGGGCAGAGAGGTGGGACTGCCTGTGTCCTCGCCTCTCACACTCCATCCGCCTCTCACACTCCATCCCCCCGAGGTGTCCGTTCCCAATGTGTGGCACAGTTGGCAGTGGCAGCCCACCCAGGGTGAATCCACACATGCTGCAGACTCATTTGGAACCCCTCCTGAAGCCAGGTGACTCTCAGCCTTGCTTCTTGCTTCTTTCCGCATCCCCTTTTTTTCCTTTGTTCCCATGGGTCCAGCCACCATCTTGATCTATGTTACTGTGGGCCTGAGTGAATCCAACAATTCCATACACAAGTGATGATTCCACAAGGGTTCCAACCCATGCCATCAGGGGTCCCCTCCCCCGAAGACCCATGGACCTGACCACCAGAGAATCTTACTCAGATTGCCTCTGAGCACATTCATCTAACACCATGCTCTGGTCTTTAACTGCACAGAACCCCTGATGGACAGCTTAGGTCGAGACAGCCCCCACCCACATCCAGCAGAAAGCAGCTACTGAAGATGAGACCTCCACCCAAATGCCAAAGATTTGTCCTCCTCAATCAGTCAGGGAGGAATATAGAGGCCACTTTCAGGCAAACAGGCTTGAGCAATGGAAGCTTGATTAAGGCAGAAGAACCCACAGTGACCCCAGGGCTGAATACAGACAGGCCATCAGGCAACACACCTCAAAATAGCCAGAGTCCCTGGCTGACCAATGGGCTACTTACAACCGGGAACAGGAACCAGAAAATTCCCTATATTCCCATGCCTTCTCACTACCCCCAACAACAACAGCCACCCTCCCACCCCACCTCCTGGCAGATGGTCTCTCCTTTGTTGTCCCACCCTCTGCTCCCTTGCAGTGTACTCAATAAACTTCTCTCTCCTTGTTACTTAATTAAGAAAAAAGAAACAAAACACTTGTAACCTCAAGTAATTTGACCTAGCCTCTCAGTATCCTCATCTGTAAAATGAGGGTAATTACAGGACCTACTTTATGCAATTTTTGTGAAGATAAACTGAGATAATCCATATGAAATACTTTGTACAGTGCTGAGCCCAATAAATAAAAGCTATTATTCCATTTCAAGTGCTTTTATTAAGCAATCAGGAACAAGTCAAGATTAATTCAACATATGTGTATTAATTATTTTGTGCTAGGTCTTGTGTAAGGTGTTGTGGTTACCAAGGTGGAGGCCCCTCATCTGGTAGAGAAGGCAGACATGAACATGTGTGAAGGCCATGTGCAGTGGGGTCAGTGCTGTGACAGAGGTAAGTACAGACGTGGGATGAAAAGGTGGTAAATGTCAGTGACTTTTATTCTGCCTGTGTTAGAGTTAGGGGAGCTCAAAGTTATCCCCGGTACTCTTTCTGCATTTGTTATTTACCAAAATAAAATATATTGCTCCCATTATTTGTTGTTGCATACCAAACCATGCCATCCCCAAACTGAAATGGCTTAAAACAATCACTGATTGTTAGCTCATTGGATGGTTTGTTTCTGCTCCCTATGTTTTTGGCTGGGTGACTTGACTAAGATTGGAAGATCCAAGATGGCGTCACTCACATGTCTAGTTCCTTGGCTGTCATGGCTGGAATAGCTGGGCTGGCCCAGTGTTTGTTTCTCTCTCTTTGTGATCTCTCCAGAACTCCCTCTTTGCTGGACCTCCCTACATAGGAGCTGGGGGCTCTAAGAGGAGGAAGGCTGAGGCTGCCAGGAGTCTTAAGACCTAGACCCAGATCTGGGTAGCAAGTTACTCAAAATCTTTTCCACTCTTTCTTCATCTGTAAAAGGAGGGGCAGTAAGATCTAACTTGCAGTTTTTGTTGTTGTTGTTCGTTTTTTTGTTTGCTTTTTTTTTAGGATTAAAGAGAATGCAAGGAAAATACTGGCACATAGTAGATGAGATAGTTGAGGGGTGACCATATACTGTTGTTATTCGTTTTCTTAACTTACTTCTTAAGTAATATGACTGCTACATTTGGAAACATTTTTTCAACCTGTTATGGGAACACCAAACAGGCCTCTAGTATTGCCTGCCCCTCCTTGAAAACCTCAGCAGTCATGCCATAGAGTTGGGGCATGGCTTTGCGAATTTGTTCAACCTTTTGGAAAGCAATTTAGTAATCATTAACAGACTCATAAAAAAACGTTCATATCCTTTGACCCAATAACTAGATTTTCAGAAAATTATCTCAAGGGCATTGATTCAAAAGGAAAGCAGCATACACACCAAGCTCTTCATTGCCATTTTCTCTAGAGCATTCTAAAATGGAGAAACAGGGGCACCTGACTGGCTTAGTCAGTGGAGCATCAGACTCTTGATCTCAAGGTTGTGACTTTGAGCCCCACACTGTGTGTAGAGATCACTTAAAAAAAAAAAAAAAGAGAAACAGCTTAAATGTCCAATAGTAAGGGAATGGTTAGATAAAATATGATACAAATAAATGCTTTAATATGATACAAATGATTAAATGCTAAAATATGATACTACTTTCTGGAAATAAATGCTTTCTGGAATATCACATATTTCCTAAAGTGGCAATTCTTACCACTATATGATAGCATGGAAAATTTTATAAATAAAATGTTAAGTGTCAAATTCAGAATTCAAAACTGTCTCTACATGAAAAAGGACTAGAGCCAGACATGGGGGAAAAAATTTCATGTGTTTGGGAAGTGGGTTTGGAATTGATTTATTTTCCTTAAAAATATTTTTTATTATTTAAAATCAAAATCAGAGGAAAAATTTAGGTGAGGCCATATGGAAAAATCATTCATTAAAAAAGAAAGGCCATAGAGTAAATGGTAGAGAATAAGTTGCAAAGCTTTTAAAAATACAGGTGCCTGGGGGTACTGGGTGGCTCATTAAGTTAAGTGTCCAACTGAATTTCAGCTCAGGTCGTGATGTCAGGGTTGTGGCCTGGAGCCCCAAGTCGGGTTCCTTGCTCAGCTTGGAGTCTGCTTGAGATTCTCTCTCCCTCTCACTTGCACCTCCCCAGCTGCTCACATTCCAAATAAATAAATAAATAAAATCTTAAAAAACAAAATACAGTGGCACCTGGGTGGCTTTGTCAGTTAAGCATCTACTTTCAGCTCAGGTCATGATCTCAGGGTCCTGGGATTGAGTCCCACATCGGGCTCCCTGCTCAGTGGGGAGTCTGCTTCTCCCTCTGCCCCCCACCCCCAGCTTGTGTGAGTGCACTCTCTCTCTCTCTCTCTTGCTCACACTCTCTTTCTCTCAAATTAATAAAATACAAGTGCCTAAGCTTCTCCATACAGATTCTAATTGAGAGGTTCTCAGGTAGGGCTTAGCTATTTATATTTTTGCAGAGCTCCACAAATGATTTTGATGTATACCTCGGGGAGACCCACTGAGATGGATACATTGTTACCCTTTCAAATGATTGAATAAACATTCAGATCAGAAAGAGTAATGCAAGGGGCACCTGGCTGGCTTAGCGCTATAGCATATGACTCTTGATCTCAGGGTCAGGAGTTTGAGCCCCATGTTGGGCATAGGGTTTACTTTAAAATAAGAGTAACACAAGGAAGATTTACATAATTAAAACATTTTTCCCCCTAATAAAATTTGTTCCTACTTGTGGACCTTTTCTATTTCCATTTATTTACTTGTACTCTGATGAATTTGTAGCCTTTGTACATAATCCAGAACACAGAAGGGACAGCTTTCAATAAACATGTGTAGTTCTGTACAGTGTAAGGAAAAAAACATGGCATAAGAGCTGATGGCCTGGGGCTTAGCAGGAAGAGCAATAGAAGTAGGGAAAGATCTCATCTCCATATCAGTTAAAACATATTGACAGAGGTACGACTGGGTGGCTCAGTGGGTTAAGCCTCTGCCTTCGGCCCAGGTCATGATCTCAGGGTCCTGGAGTCAAGCCCCACATCGGGCTTTCTGCTCAGTGGGGAGCCTGCTTCCCCCCCACTCTGCCTGCCTCTCTGCCTACTTATGATCTCTCTTCCTGTCAAATAAATAAATAAAATCTTAAATATATGTATATATATATATATGTATATATATATATATATGTATATATATATATATACACACACATACATACATACAGAATTTCAAGGATGATTCCCACTGTGACCAGCTGTGGGCCGTTTCTAAGGAATAGAAGTAGTAGGTAGTCTCATGATATTTAATATGAATATTTTTCTTTCTTTTATAATACTGGCATTAACTCACAGGGAGTTATTGTTAAAGACTGAAGAATAGAAACTACAAAAGCCAAGCAGAACCTTGTTCTACCCAGCCCAGCTTCCAGAAAATATAGTGAAAGAGACAGTAGATTCTTTGAGAAAATCCTGAAGTTAAGCAATTTTCACAATGACTATGTTTCCTAAGACCATCATTTCCCAAAGTGTGCCCTTTGTAAGAAGTAGTTTCTCAGAAGACTGGAAGATATTGCTTGAAAAGAGGTTTCATGATAAAATCAGTTTGGAATGTAGGATTTCACCAAGTTAGAAAGATTTCTTTGCAGGACTTCTCAGAGCCTTTGTGAATCCCTAAGAAAGAATATAGTATAAAATATGAAAACCTTATGTTGGTGGATGCAACACACTTTGCAAAACACTTCCATAGACCATAAGATTTCCAGTCAGAGCTAAATAAATATTAGTTTATGTATAAATGTTAATGCAAGGAAAATTAGTACAGAGTATTATGGTCCTAGGTTTGTATTATTTCATTTGGATTTTTCCCTGAAGGAAAGTTAATCTTCATGTGAAAATTAGGAGACAATATATAGAAAATTCAAGAGCCTCTCCGGATAAACTCTTAGAACTAATGAGAAAGTTCACTAAAGTTTTTAGACATAAGATCCTTGCCCCCACTCACAAATTGCTTTCCTATTCACCAATAGCAAACAATTAGAAAATTTAATTTTTTTGAAGAAATTTTAATTTTAAAAGTACCATTTATAATAGGGCCAAAATCTGTTCACTAACTAGGAAGAAGTCTAACAAAATATGGTCAAACCTACTATGGAGAAAACTTAAAGTCTTTATTCAAAGACATAAAAAAATTCCTAAACAAACAGAGAGATTATATACCATGTTTGTGGTTAGGGAGATGCAACGTGGTAAGGGTATAATGGTCTCCATCTTTCACTTCCTTCATTTCCTGATTAAAACTTGTATTTATCTCTTACCCTTCCTTCTCTTGTTTCTTGTAATGTCTAAGAACAAAGATGGTCTCCACTCTTTCATTGTCAGAATGTCTTCTGCCTGTCTTAGCCAATTATGAGACATGTTTTAGAGCTCCATCTCCAGATGCCCAGTAATACCCAGCCAGGTCAGTTGGGAGAGCATGTGACTCTTGATCTTGGGGTTGTGAGTTTGAGCCCCACATTGTGTGTAGAGATTACTTAAAAAATAAAATCTAAGAAAACAAGCAAGCAAGCAAGAAGGATGCCCAGTAAACCCTGGTGGGTGGTTGTAGGATTTCTAGTACAGTGTAAAAGGTCTTAAAGCATTTTAGAGTACTATCAGATTCTCTGAGCAGCCTATGCAATTAGTTTGTGTCTTCTAACCACTAAATATCTCTTGGATGCCTTAGCTAGAAAGGGCTTTATCTGTGCTCAAAATCACCCAATTTAATCTACTAAATGGGTTCTGTCAATGTAAATGAAGGTAGCTTCCTGGCTCACAGCAATACCCACAGAGGCCACATTTGTGCTACATTTCCTCTGATAATAGACTCAACCCCAAATCATAAAGGTGGGGAGGAGGTGATCCAGGCTGGATTGATTATAATGCCTCATTCCTCTGGCCTGGTGTACACATGACCCAGGCTGCACTGATCAGTCTTTCCTGATGGAGGAGAGAATGAAGCTAACAGGAAAAGAGCAGAGAGACCAACCGTTTTTGAACTCCTGGCTTTTGTCACCCCTGCACTTTCGTGGGTTGAGGATACAAGCCAAGAAAGGTCCCCTTTTTTTTTCTTAAATTTGTTCAATATGGCTTTCTGTCTCTTGCAGCCAAAGAATTTTCATAAGAAAGCAAGTGGAAAGTTCCATTCTTCAGTTGCCCCGGAGTCTATGAAGGCTACCAGTAATATAGTAAGAAGTTATTCAGGGAAGCAGAAATGCCATAAGTTATGAAGTTATGGGATAAGGAATTTATTACAGGAAGGAGAGCATGCACAATGGTGGGAGTAGCTCAGGAAGTACAGGATCAGTCAGAAAATCGGGAATCAGAGAAGAGGTCACTGTTTGGTCAATCCG